TGTTGAGGGATTTTAAAATAAAAACTATTTCCTTTTGTAAGACCTATCCCCCCATAACCCACACCTTAACACATCAATGTCACCATCGCCAATATCAGCTCAGAAGGAGCAATATCTCTGTCTGAAACTCATATCTTTACCGCACGACTTTCAGACTACAAATCACAGCGTTTCAGGCTCCAGTTGGAGTCGGCGGTGGAGTTTATGAGCGGTACTTTGTGAAGATCGAGTTCATCTCTCTTTTACGACAGCTTTGGCTGAGGTCACGCTGTTGCGACGTGACAGCCGGATTGTTTTTGTCTGAAAAAACATGAGCCGATCTCTCTGCTTAGAAAGGTGTTGGGAGGAAATATAACAACCTAACTGCCATGTAGCAACCTGTCAGCACCATGAATGAAATAGATGTATTGTGAGCATCCAAGTATGGATTCTAAAAATACATATTCTTTATTTTTGATTTTCTTTTTCTTCCTTCCAAGTTATACCTATGCAGCATTGAGTTTAAATTACATTACACTTTATTCTAGCCAAAAAACACCCACTCACATAGGAAGCAGGAAGAACTGTCTGACCTTTAGGGTTGCGTAAGTCTGAAACTCGATTTAGACTACCAGGAAAGCAAAGCAAAACATACACTTACTTTACTTGCTGAGGTAAGACTCAAAATGTACATGTGCTAAATCAAAAAAGTTGAAAAATAAGTGGTCTTTTAGGAAGGTAAATATTAAAATGAACATTTACAGTTGAAGACAAAATTTGCCCTTCAGTGAATTTTTTTCCTTTTTTAAATATTTCCCAAATGATGTTAAACAGAGCAAGGATTTTTTTTTCACAGTATTTCTTATAATTGGTGTTTCTGAAGAATTCTTTAAGACATTTTTAAGACCATTGTGATTGAAATTTTATATTCATAAAGAGCTAATAGCTAAGGATTTTTTAAATGGCTCAGATGGAAAAGATTTTGTATTCGTCCTATCAAAATATTTTATAATTTAAAACATTTAATATTACAATAACAATAAGTATTATTTAATAATAACAAAATTAAATACTGTAGATATTGTGTCAAAACAAGCAAGCTCTAAAGGTATATATACTGTAACATTTTTAACATTAACTTTCTTAAACAATAAAATAAACAAGTATTTTAAATGTTTTACAAACTATAATAAACTAAATGGATGCACAGCAATCTGTCCAGGACAGTGTCCTCAGCACTATGGAGTACTTTTAAACAAATGCTATTGTAAGGAAAATAATTAAACCATTATGCTAAATAGAATCAAAAACTAACATTTCTAATAAAAAGTTGAAGTTTTATTGAGATGGATTGTTTAAGGACTGGATATATGTTAGCAATTTTGCACAGAATGTAATATTGCAGAAAAGGACATAGCCCTAGTGATGTTTTAAATAATAGTAGTGGAGATTTAGCAACCCTTTAATGTTCTCATAATTATGAAAAATATTTGAATTTATAAAGCAGCCGTTTCCTTAAAAAAATATGTGATAGTGTCATTAGAAAATTCAATATATTTCAAAAGAAATTAAAGACCTATTGACCTACAAAATGTTTCAGTAAATGTAAAAATGTATAATTTCGTTTTTGAGATTTTAGACATTTTACAACTTTTTAAGCCCCCACGGACACCCAAAATAACATTTGTTTTTCTTTGAGAAAGTCTTCTAAGTCTTCTAATTGTTTTCTAAGAGAAAGTCTTATTTGTTTTATTTCGGTTAGAATACAAGCAGTTCTTAATTTTTGTAAAACCATTATTAGCCCCCTTAAGCTATACTTTTTTTTCAGTTGTCAACAGAACAAACCACTGCTATACAATTACTTCTAATCATTATAATACTGAATACTAATATTATATATATATATATATATATATATATATATATATATATATATATATATATATATATATATATATATACAGAAATTAGTTAATAAAACTATTATGTTTAGAAATGTGTTGAAAAAAAACTTCTCTCCGTTAAACAGAAATTTGGAAAAAATAACCAGGGAGGCTAATAATTCCGACTTTAACTGTATGTATAAAGTTTTCATGCATACTTACAAGAGACAAGGAGAAAAGAACAGGATCCAACCGAACGCAACCTTAAAATATCTAAACAACAAAACAAATTGAAAAGGGCGAAAGGTTCGCATTTTAAGCACATCCGCTAATCTGCTGCCATTCATCTGTTAAACACATTATGTGGACACAAAACCACACTATGAGCTGATGGAGCAGCAAAGGTCCAGCATGACAGCACTTCAGATTGAGTCACTGCCACTGATGAAATAATGTGGGCTGGTGAACATTAAATTACAGACAGTGAGATGTGAGATGTCTATACTCACAGTTTGTGCGAATAAAAAGCTTGCACATTGGAATAAACAACTACAGTGTGACACAGTAACCAGCAAATAGTCAAACTAATGACGCAATTCAGTTTTAGGGCAGTGCATGGTGTGATCGCACATCAAAGGTTTTGCCCTTGATATGAGGAGAGAGAGAGAGTTTATGCAGGCTTAATTTATGCGTGCATGGATAATGAAATCTCATTATGCTGACATGTGTGGTAAACATATTTGGATCTGGTTAATTATGCAGTGCTGCATGGATGGAAATGAATATTCTGTGCAGAAATGGTTTTAAAAAAAAGCCTTTGAATTACAAATAAACACCCAAAATCTGATGATTGAGATGGGATGTATTTCTATGTGAAAGTGATGATGAACAGTAGTGCTGTTCAGTAAATGCTGTTATGACTCACTCGAGGCTCATCTTAAAGATGGCATTTTTCTGCCAGTCTCACACAACTCTGTTGCAGGTATTACAAAGGTATTTTTCATTTATTTTTTATCTCCGTCTTGAATTAATTCCATGCGTTCATCAACACACACACAAAAAAAAGGTTTTGCTTGAAAGATGAGTTGAATCAACACAATTCTTAGGCCTGTAGCTAGCCTGGTGAAAGGGGTGGTTCTTTTTTCCCAAAATGTGGACCTTTATGTTGTTTATTCTATGTAACTATGAGATTTAAATACAGCATCTAAAGCACTATTTTTAGCTGAATTAGCTTGTTGAAGGGTCATCATAACCACACATTTTGATGTACCAAAATATTTCCTAAAGATTTCTCAAATACTAATTTAGTACATTATATCATTAGAAAAAAAAACTTTGAATCTGTAAAGGTTTTTTTTTTTTTTTTTACTGTAGCCTATTGTCATTTATTTAAAAAACTGGCCAGCACATCCAACTGTCCTCAGTCAGAAATTGACAATTTGAATAAAAAATAATGAAAACATAATAATAATAATAATAACAATATTAATAATAATTATTATTATTATAATTATTATAATTATTATTATTATTATGTAGTGCTTCATAATTTTTCTTGTAAAAAAAGTACATTTGAAAAATCATGGATAACAACAACAGCCAAATTAGTGTTCACTTGAATTGTAATGTGAGGCGCTTTTGGTGCTTCACAACTTTTATGGATCAGTTTTTTAATCAAGAATAAGTCCAAGATTTATAGTAAAAGTCCCTTGTAAAATGTTTTCTTTATTTAAAAACAAACCAGTAGCGAAAGATGTTTCACTTGATCTTAAAAGCCGTTTTAGATTAGGTTTTTCCCCAAATTTATGATGGTATAGCAGACAAAGTAGGATAATAAGCTCATGTATGGGACAAATTTTGGACCTTTGTCAGTGAGGGGTGGGTCTTTCATACCACCTGAACCCCCTGGCTACGGTATTGATTCTTGAGGGGTTTTTAGGTCAACGTAATTGCTTTTAAGTTCAATCCACTTAAAAATGTTAAGCTAGCTTAATTGATTTGTGTTGGGACAACATGAATGAATTGTGTGGAACTCAGCATTTTTGAACAGTATAGCACTCCTCAATCAAAATCAATATTAAGCAGTGTGTTTTAAAGCCTCTAAAATGAAAACCAATACAATTATCCAAATCAAAAACTAAAATAAAAACTGCAAATGAATTATTAACAAACATATCCCAGTGGTTTTTACTTGATCAACAGCAATCAAAAATCACAGTTAATCACCATTCAGTCTCCAGCTCATCTAATCAATCCAAATGAGAGGTGTGCATCTCACCTCCATGCAATCATCTGTTTATTAATCAATAAACAAACAAAAATGAATCAAAATTAAATCATTAATATCAAACGGAAATCAGCATCCACTGAACACATAAACACTCTCCAAAATGGTGAGTTATTAATTGAAAAAGAATATGAAAATTAGCTCTGAATCACAATCTCAACTCAGTCAAGTTAAATTAGCATGAAGCGATACAGTATATGAATAACTAGCGGGATTACCTTTTAATTCTTTTGTGCTTTCAAATAATCACAAATTATCATTTTGCAGGTCAAATATTGAAATCTGAGTGTTATGCAATCTGATGAGTGACTTTAACATCAATTGATGACACTTATTAGGCTAATCCACCTGTTATTATTTATCGACTTTAAGCCTGGTTGTAATGTATGCATTCATTCACATTGCAATGATCTTCAAAGTTTGTAGTAATGACTATGAGTATCAACTATTCATCATGCTACCTCAATATCAAGCTAAGTCATGCAGTCATTATTGCATGTATCAATAAATAAATATAAAGCTCAGATTTATTTTTAATGACAGTAAATATTAACTTACCACTTACAAATCAAATACACTTTATGCAGTAATTAATTAAACTTGAGCTTAAAAACATTTATCAACATAATCAATATCAACTGATCACTTATCCATCAACATCACTTATCATTCCAGCAGTTATCCTTTAGCAGTATCAAACCTGATCTACATCCATGCATGCATTTCTTTATTTGTCAACGAAAGAATGTGCATTTAAAACACTTTTGAGTACTAGTTAATATCATCTGATCACCCGATGATAACACTAATCAGTCAATAAACTGGCATGAGCAGCGGCTCCAGTGACTCACCATCAGTGTGGGGACACCGGTGACCACCGCGTACAGCAGGGCGGGCGGGATGGCGCTCGTGTCCTCGGGTCCGAGGTAGGGTTTCGTGTACGCGGTCTCGTAGCAGAAGAAGCCCTGCACGTGCACGTTGAACGTGTCCGTGTACTCGAAGTAATATGCCAGCATGACCGTGCCCGCCATGATCACCAGCTGGAAATAAAGCATGGTCGTCAGAGAGTGGGGCAGGAACATTTACCAACAATCCAGTGGAGAACCTCCAAACATATGAGCTCCCGTTATAGTTCCCGCATCTCGCCGGGGTCTGAGGCTCCGGTTGGCACGAGGAGGAGACGCACCGGCGCGCATGGCACTGCGCTCAGGTCGCAATGAGGAAAGGCGAGAGGAGAGCAGATAAAGTGGCACCGCGCGCGCCTTATTACTCCAGGCAGAGGATGAGGAGGAGACACGTCAGGCAGCGTGACCGCGCATCATCATCATCCTCATCATCATCACCCTATAAGCGTTTAAAGAAAAGCGCGATTCCGAAAGTAACCAGACGTCCCCTCAGCAATACCCAATATACCGCACAGCAACAGATTGTCTGGTATTGTAAAGTATACTAAAACACAGGCACGAAGGATTGAGCGAAGGAGTGTATATTTGAATTATTTGTTTTAAAACTTGTACGATTTTTTTAAACTTGAAAACGCATACATACTTTAAAAAACAAATATAAAAAGTATGTATTTGCACATTTTAATAAAAAAATGTCAAATACCCTAATCAAATTATTGACCTAATTTAGCACAACATAAAATGCTATTTTATATGTTACATTTTAACTAATATATTTGTATTTTATTTAATATTACATATTCTATAATCCATATTATATAACCTAAATATGGGGAAAACATGTTTACGTACCAATTCCAACTATTAAATACTGGCTTATTAACAGTGTTGGGAGTAAGGCATTACGAGTAACGTGAGTTACAGTGATCAGCATAATTGAGTACACCCCATTTTGAAAATTAATATTTTTATCCAATTCTCAGAGAATATAGGCAATATATTTTGATGCATTTAATCAAGACAGATTTATTTAACAGATATATTTATTTAAATATTTTTTATCACCAAACATATTTATAAATTAAAAAAGATAACACAATTACATTTAAGCAAAATGTTGAAAAAAGATACAAACTACAAAATTTCAACATATTAAAAAATGTTTTGCTCCTCTTGATTTTTCCTCTTTTTTTAAATTTGTATTTAATATTTTTCTATAACATATACATTTGGGTGTACTAGTTTTTGGACCATTATCATAAGTTATTTTGTTAGATAAGCTCCAGATTTAGCTTCAGTACTAACTAATCGAATGTATATGCACAATTATAAATTTGTATAGCTTCCACGCTCTCCCTCGTGAAGTAAATACGGAAGTAACTGAAACTGCAATTCATCGAAATTCCGCTAGTCCTGGCTCTATCACAGAGCAAATTTCTATTGAGTCCACTGTTAAAATGGGCAACTTTACAGCAGAAAAAAGGTGTTTACAGCCTGCTACAAAGAACGAATTTGATGCATATAGCTAATATTACTTCTCATGACAACTGTGAGGGGGTGAATTTTTTTAATTACTCATCTGTTTTGTTTAAAATGAATTATAATAAGTCTGCATAATTAAGGGTGTGGCCACTTGAGTGACAGCTAGGTCTTGCTAGTCGCAGTCACTTTACCTCAGCTGATTCCGGCTGATGAGCCGCTGAACTCGGCATACACATCGTGTTTTTGTTTTGTTTTATGTGGCTTTACACAGTCAGTTGCTTATTGGAATTGTTTCTTACAAAATTCAGATAATATGGCATGCTGTGTGCACTTAATTGTGCTCACAAACCATTCATGTGGCCAACATTTCCTAGGTGAGTAAAATTATATACTTATACACCAAATCTATAAATGTATTTGTTTTAATTAGGATCATTTATATTTTTCTTTGGACCTGTAAAACACCCCAGAATCTGACTGTAGGCTCTAAAACAGTCATCTGAAACGTTGTCATACAGTGGTATGCCTGGATTTCTGCAATGCTTAGTGGCTCAATGTATTACAACAGTGTGTTAAAAGACTAAACACTTTATTGATATAGTATACAACCAAGCACATGTGGTCAGAATACAAACGAGTCGCAGGTAATGAAGTATTAAGCGTTTCTCCTATAGGAAAGCCCGTCTAAGCAAAATGCTAGCAGGCGTCTGTAGCTCTGCTCACGCTCCGCCTCTGCCCTTGTTTGGTATCCCCAATGACACGCAAACCAAACAGTTGGCCACACCTACATATAGCTTCTTTTGGGTTCTTCAAAAACCAATGGGAGACATCACGGATACTACATCCATACCTTTTCAATCTATGTGTGGTATCAGCTGTGAAATTAGATTATAAATAAACCACACAATTTTTTTAAAAGCCTGCAAGTTATGAAAAAGATCAAGCCTCAGCAAAGGTAAGGACAAGTAACGCAAATGTAACTCAAAAGTAATGTAAGGCATTACTTATCGTAAAAAGTAACTAAGTAACACAACTAGTTCATTTATTGGGGAGTAGCTCAATAATGTAATGCATTACTTTCAAAAGTAATTTTCCCCAACAGTGCTTATTAATAAGTTATTAGTTGTTTGTTAGTACTTATAAAGTATGATCTTATTATACAGTCTACATTCCAATACCTAGACCAGACTACAACTAACTATAATAGGAATCCATAAATTAGTAGTTTGTTGAGACAAAGGTCTTGTAAATTGTTTGTTAATAGCAAAATAAAGTGTTACCGTAAATATAATATAGGCACAATTTTAGACAGAGGACATACTTTAAAATATATGATTCACTATATGACTATATGCAAAAAAAATTGTTTCAAAATTAAAAGCATTCATTTTGAGTGAACAAAAATCATGCAGAAACATTTCGTGTCGAAGAACAGCATAAAGAATAACATAAAAAGCGAAAGTCCTCAAAGATAAACCGCAGCGCAGTTTAATTAAAACGTCTTTGACTTTATCTCAAAAGCTTTGACAAATTCAGTTATCAAACTCCTTATTTAATATTGCACCTCATTTATTACCACAGCTGTGATAAAGTCTAACTGGGATTAATTTTTTTCCCTGTTGCCAAAAACATTAATAAAACTGAAGCAGGGAATCATTGGCTCTGCTGGAATCTCCTCAGATGTTCATATTAACCTAGCAGAGAATCATGATAATTGGGCAGCTGTTATTTACATTACTGTGACAGTTGGAATGTGTTTCCACAGAGAAGAAATGTCAGCTGGGCTCCAGAGTTGTTTCAGTTTAACAGGGAGCTATATATGCATGATTTTTTATGTAATGTGTGTTTTTTATTGCTAATGTGTGAACAGCTTGTAATTAAACATTAAAATACCTTCTTAGGCTTTCTTGTAGACTCATTTTTATTTATTGTGTGCATTTTATTTATAGTGTTTTGCTCAGCTGTTTATGTGCTCGCAAAATCATTCGGTGACACATGAAACATATGCATATGTCAAGATAAAAAAAAATAAAAGCACACTGTGACCACATACCTAAAGTTTTACCTTAATTTTATCTTATTGGTTGAAATGGGCTTCACTAGACTCAAACCGGAGTGCCCTGCATCACTAGCGACCAAACTGACCATCAAAAAAGTTATCCATATGGAGATAGATAAGTGAGGGAAATGTATTTTTTGATTACAAATTTAGAAAAGACCAGGTCAATTACTCTGCTGTCATCTAGTGGCTACTAAAACATTACTGCATTAAATAGTATATATAGTACTATAAACCACATGAATATGTTTCCTGGCATTTCATTTGTTCAAAGTAGCAGAACTGAGGGTCAATCAAAAACTGATCATTTCCAGACATTTATCGAAAAAGCTAACTTTCACATTTTCTCATCGATCTCTTTGCGGATCTAGTCGAATGTCATTCGTTAACACAGCATGCATACATTTTGAAAGTGTGCTAAATAGTTATTTCATATTAATTTATGTTGGTTTAAAAATGTTACATTTCAATACAATTAAGAATTAGAACTGTACTTTAAACTTCCAAACACAAACCATAGTCATTGTTAAGTTATGTTGTGGTGTTTATTTGGTGCTATGCAAATAACAGCATAGAAATAATCATTTATTTGTCAATAATATGTCCCTGAAATATCTATAGTATGAAAAGAAACAAAAGTTGTTTTTGTCATACTGCCCCCTAGTGTTCATTTCACCCAGAAAATGCAGTCAAACATATGTTTAAAGGTGCAAATAGGTTTGTAAGAGTGACACCCTGTGGTTGAACTAGGTATAGCAGTTACAATTTAAAACACTTTTTCACTCTGCCCCTCTGCTAATGACTCAACATAGGTTTCCAGATTGATGACACCAAATAAATATCAAGCCTACACTGTACTGTAACTACACGTGACAACATGCGACAAAAGGAATCTTTTCTGTGTTAAACGATTTTTTGTCCAGACCAGGGGTGCCCAGACTCTGTCCTGGAGGGCCGATGCCCTGCACAGTTTTGCTCCAACTTCTTTCAATAAACCTGCCTTGAAGTTTTAAGTATACATAGAAAGAGCCTAATTAGCTGGTTCAGGTGTGTCCAATTGGGGTTGGAACTAAACTTTGCAGGACATCGGTCCGCAGGACCAAGTTTGGGCACCCCTATTTCAGACCATCACCTGAAATTTCTATTTCAGAAACAGTTTCTATTTCTCATGGCTGAACAAGAGTATAAACTACTTTGAAAACAATTACCTCAGGTACTGATTATGTGCTTTTTTCAGTGATAAATACTAACAATGTAAGTTTGAAAGCCAAGTCATGTGACATTTTTTGCCATATTGAAAGCACGAGCAGATAGAGAATGTTAGAACTGTGACTCCAAACTGCAAACATACAAATATTTGTCACTTAGCATGTACTTTTAATAATATTAAAAAGGTTTAATATGCATTATTAAACTGTACCATTTCATTAAAGTGCAGTGAGTGCACTGTTCTGTGTTTATGAATGGCTGTATTTAAATGTTTCTGTTTTGCGTTGTGTGAGGACAGTCAGATTGCTTGGCTCTGGAATCTTGTCGCGTCACATATTGTTAGGACATATTGTTAATTGGACTTGCTAATTAAAAACCACCTAAT